CGCGTGCCCCCGCCGATTGGCGCGTCAGGGCCGCAAGCGCCACGAGAACCGCGTGGCGCAGCTCATCCGCACTGAGACGAGTGATGAGGCGGTGCACAAGCTGGCGGTGAGCGCAGGGCCGGCAGGGCGGGGGAGGGGAGGCCAGGGCGGGGCCTGGCTGCTGTGTCTACGCGCACGCCGTTGCAGGGCAGAGGGATGACTCCGGTCTCACAAGCTGCATGCCTCCGCGCACAGATGGGTGGCGATTCAGAGTGCGCCGCCGCGCCTGGTCACCCCGCCCTTGACACCAGTCACTGGCTTGCACCCTTCCCTTGAAACCCCTAACTGCAACCCCCTGCGACCTCCGCCCCTTTCAATCACACGCACACAAACACACACACACACACACAAACACACACGCGCACACACACGTTCTCCCTCATCCCCGGGAACGCCCGCTCGGCCACGCACCCCCTCCCTCTCATCACCACCGCCTGATGCCGGCAGGAGGCGGTCCAGCTGGCTCAGGCCAGCGCGTCGCTGTTTGTTGATGCTGACGTGGCGGCGGCGGTTGACGGCTGGGTGGAGGGCCTCAAGGCTGGCGATGGGGTGAGCGGGCGGCGGGTTGCGGGTGCACCCTTCAGACACTGCAGGAGGCAGGGAAGTGCACAGCCATGTGCATTGTGTCATTCAGTGTACAGCCATTCACATTCCAGGATGCAGGGTTTGCGCGTAGCATCACAAGGGCACAGCACGTACAACCCGGGTGGTGTCACGCCCGAGGACGCTGCCCTGGTGGGCTGGTGAGGGCCTCGCGCCACCCTCCGCCTGCCCAGCCATCGACCCCTCCCTGAGCCCCGGCCCCGGCGCGCCGCCGCGCCTGTCCCGCCCTGCCCCCTGGCAGGCCGTGCTGCAGGAGGTGGGGGCGCTGCTGGCTGCTGACCTGGACATGCAGCAGCTGCGGCGGCTGGCGCAGCAGTTGGAGAAGGACGCGGCGGACGGCGCGGCTGCTAGTGACGTCAGCGGCGGCGGCAGTGACGTCAGCGCAGCAGAGGGGGGACTGGAGGTGGCGCAGCAGGTGCTGGCCGACCCTGAGCTGCTGGCGCTGCTCACTAAGAGGGGCGGCGGCAAGGGGGCCGGCGCGCGCGGGGGCCGGCGGCCGGGCGCGCAGCGGCCGATGGGGGCGGCGGAGCGGAAGATCCGGGCGCTGCTGCGGCCGGCGGCGATGCGGCGGGAGCGCGAGGCGGCGGTCGAGTAGGCCGCTGGGAGGCTGGCGGGCTGGCAGGCCAGTCGCAATGTGGGCGCTGGGTGGTGCCATCTGGGTCCCAGGCCGTGGCACCCTGGGCACACGAGCACATCCCCTATTCCAAGGTGACGCAGCCTCACAGCCAAGCCGGTCAGTGGGTGGCCGCAACACACAGGCTGTAATCCCCTCAACCGCTATGCTTTGCTGGATTTGCTGCACATCCCAACGGGGAGGGACACACCCACCCTGGTCTAGCGCAGCGTGTGGCGCGAGGCTGTGCTGTTGAGTCGAGGTGCCGCTCACCCCGCAGTGCCCCCCGCGCTGCTTTTTGCGAGGCACCCTGATGCACAGCGGTTTCACGCTTTCATTTACATTCAACACAGTGTTGACAACGACGGCCAGTTAGCTCCTGCACATGCACACACATGCAAAGCATCGGGCCAGAATCCCGGCTGTTGTGACGACTCAAAGACAATCAAGCTCGCGGCGCCCGGTCCGGACCCGCACAGACGGTGGGCAAGGAGGAGGGGGCACACCGGCATGCGCGCAGGCGTCGAGGTTGGCGCGCCTGCGCGTGCGGACGCGCGTCCTGCAATCGCGGCGCATGGGCACGGGGGGCGGTAGCGTTATGGGGCCCCGGTGGGGTCTCCACAGGGAGACAGCCGGCATGACTCATGCGACGCGCGCCCCCCGGCGCAACAGCAGCAGCAGGGGGCGGCGGTCAAAATGGGGCGAGGCCCAGCGAAAAGGGAGGGGATGGAGGGTGGACGGGCGAATGTGTGTTTGTAGATCGAATGCGCATGGGGCTGTGGTGGTGGAGGGGTTGCGCTCTCTATCACTTGTGAGCCATTGATGGGTGGCAGGGTGGGTGCGCAGCCCACGGCAGGCGCGGACGGCCGCGCCGCCCACGTTGGCCCGGGCACACTACGGAGCTGCTGCAGCCGGGGCGCCTGGCGGTGGCCCGCCCAGACGGGGGGGGCCTGGCCAGTGAGTTGACCTTGGCCTGCAGAGCCGTCTGCCGCAGAGGCGTGCCGGCCGGGGCACCGCGGGGTCGGCCTCCCCCGGAGGACGGAGTCCTGCGCAGCTCGAGCGCAGGACCGGCCGCGGGCGGCGGCGGCGGCTCGCCGGATGGGCGAAGCGCGCATGGCGCCTCCTGATGCATGCTCGCGCTCGCCGCTGCGGCGCAGCCCTGCGTTGTCGGCAGCCACGGCCGTCCCGCCAATTGTCCGACGTCCACCGTCAAGGGCAGGCATCGCTCGCAAAGACCCGAAAATGCGAAAGAAGACGACAGGACTGCCAAGCAGACAACGGTTTGAGGGGGTCGACACCCTGGCCGGGCCGAGGCGTGGCCCCCCACAACGAGAGAGAGTGACAGCTGAGCTGGCGTGACGCGAATGGTTCCATCGGAGGAAACACGTGTGGGAGGGCGCACCGGCCGGTGACAACCTTGGTGCGCCTCATGAGGGCGGCGTCACAAGTGCGAAGCATGCGGCCTGGGCCGATCGAAAACGACAAACAAGGCTCTTGCTGGGGCTGGCGGGCTTTGCAGCCGGCGAACCCCGTGCGCAACGGGCACGGGGCGAACGAATTAGGTTTTCTCGGGCTCTAGGCAGCCCGGGGGGTGGCGAGTGCGCACAGGGGTTGCGCAGCCGTGCGTGCATGTGCGAGCCCTGGAGCCAGAAAGGCGTCCAGGGCTGGCCGCGATGCCTCGTCACGGCCCTTCGCTTTCAGTGCGGGGCGTGCGGGGCGGCAGAGGGAAGGGGTGCGGACAAGCGTGGAGGGCAGCGACTCTGGGGAGGCAGAGAATGTGGGGCTGGCGCACAGGCCACGGTATACGGCACCCACCGCCGCCGGCAGTCCCACGTGGCTCATCGCCACCTTCACGCTGCGGGGGCCGCGCGCAGCCGCAACTTCAGCACCGCCGTCGCGGCGGCTGCCGCGGCGGC